AATCTAACCCATTTTTATCACCATTTTTACTACTTAATCACTAAGATTTACCTAAACTGCTCAGAAACTATACAGAGCATACTGAAAAATACAAGTATACTTCACTCTTATGCTAAACCACCATTAAAACAAGCGTAATCATAACTGGGAACAAAACATAATTTGATTCTGATTGATGGTGTGGTATAGTTAAATAAATTGAGTAAACCCATGATTCATAAATGGGTTAAAGAAGATGACAAACACTGACACAGCACTATTTAGTGAGCACATAAACACACATGAATTTTCCCTATTCATTTAATTCTCTTCTTGTAAAAATATGACCAAAACTTTTTGTTTAGCCAGGTTTTCTAGCGGTTTTCTAGCACAGTATTTCCCTGTGGGTGGACCAGTGTGTGTCTACCACAGAACAGACTTCATTAATGTGAGGTAATTATGCATCCTCAGTCGTAGAGTGAGGGGAAGCGGGGCTACGATGTTAAAGAGTTAGTCATTAATACTCTGAAATAGTAAAAAAGGCACGCTCACTCACACAACACTGATTCACATGTATATACGGGTGGTTGCTGTTTAAGCATTAGAAACTGGGAGACAAATCTCAGCAAACAAGACATAAAAATAGGATAGCAGTTTTGAAAAGGACAACTGAAGTGTTTGTATTTTAACTCACTTTTGTTAAATTTTTCCTGACTGAACTATGAATGCACATTTCTTCTCTAAAAATGCAGAAGGTACATATCATTTCTGAAGGAAAGATCTGCATACTAATTGCCAGTCATTAGTCTACTGAAATCAAGCCTCTGATTAAGTATATCAATTAGGAAATATTGCTCATATGTTGAAAAACTTCTCTTAAACATTTTCAAATAATTTTGACAAACCAACTATAATTAAAATGAATAATTTACAAATGAAAATGTTTAAATTTTTTTTTTTACAGACAAAAATAACTTCCATATGAAGATTATTTTGAGCATCACTACCTCAAATTAATAATAATAGAAATAATAATAAAAAACTCTAACCGGCAAGCATCAAGCACATATGGAAGCAGTCAATTTCATGGCACAAAAAAGAAAGAAAAAAAAAAGAAAAAAAAAAAAAAAAAAAAAAAAAAAAAGTTTTTTTTTTTTTTTATAACAACACCAATGCAGAAGGTACATATCATTTCTGAAGGAAAGATCTGCATACTAATTGCCAGTCATTAGTCTACTGAAATCAAGCCTCTGATTAAGTATATCAATTAGGAAATATTGCTCATATGTTGAAAAACTTCTCTTAAACATTTTCAAATAATTTTGACAAACCAACTATAATTAAAATGAATAATTTACAAATGAAAATGTTTAAATTTTTTTTTTACAGACAAAAATAACTTCCATATGAAGATTATTTTGAGCATCACTACCTCAAATTAATAATAATAGAAATAATAATAAAAAACACGTCACACATTGTGACCTTCACTACAATAATACCATCTTATGGAAAAAGTGACGTGGCAAAACTTCATCAGATGTCCTTCTAAGATGTTATCTGATCTTCCTGACATCTTTGACTTCTCCACAGATGTGTCCAAGTAATTGTTCATACAAACTTTTAAATAAAAACATATCCTTGATCATCATAAGGCTTTAGACATTCAGCCCTTGACAAATGTTTGAGCACTGACTGAATTTCAAGTAGGCCTATACTCAATTAATGCATCAATAATATCATTATGAAACAATACAAAGCACTACTTCAAAGTACTTTTATTTATAATTTACTAATTTATTACCCAATTCTATCTTCAGTATGAAACCTTCGGCATTGGGCTATCAACGCACGTGCTGGAGATTTACTACTAATCACAGAACCGACTTTACTGATGAGATGCGCATGAAAATCGCATTCGATTATTTGCACAAGCCCTACTTGGGCACATATAAACTTGTGCCATATCAACCACCTATGCACACAAACTCATTCCAGAGAGAAACACTACCCAAATATTGTGTCATTTGCTTTTGTATTTGAGGTCGATATATTTAATGTATCATAGTTCAGAAAAAGTGCAAAGAAACATAAAAATGGTTCCAAGTAACCAAGAAGAATTGGAACAAAGGGCATTGTAGAGGCAGTCCTGCAGTATAAAAGAGATGAGATGTCTGATAATGAAAGATGATCATGCAGGTAACCTAATGAAGGTAATAAACAAAGGGATGTCTGCCAATTAATGGCCCACAAGACACAAGACTGAGGTGTGATGTGGCAGAAATGCAGGCCTGTAATTGTGGTTGTTTAATGGACCATTCAAAGCCAGAGTGATTCAGGTGAAAGGCCTTCTTCTCTTCCTCACATGTTCAATGATCTCGGTTCCCAAGTTGTGTGTGTGCCTCATTACGGCTGCCACAAAAGAGGCCACTGCCTCCAAGACCATAAAATATTTACCAACAAGCTCTCTCTCTCTTGGTCTCTCTCGGAGAGCTAGCCTCAGGAGAGTGCCAGGTAAGTTTACCTATCCGATCATGATACAGCAGGATACTAATTGGGCTTCATTTTACATAAATGATGCCATCACCTCTTCTGAAGCATGCTCCCATGATCCCTCCGGTAAGCTGCTAGTACAAGTAGCACAGAGCAGTCGGTAGGAAATAAAGTCCCTAATCAGACTGCTACACAGTTTGCTTAGATCTAGCTGACACCAAAACACTCGGTCGCTAGCTGTTACCCAGTAAAAGGAATTTTATGACCAGTAATGAGGTTACTAGGCCACACAGCAGACGCTTTCTGTGTGGTCTCGCTTCTCAAGTTCTGCTTCCTGTGAGGGAACGGATGGCATCATGCTCTGTTCCCACTTTTGCGGCCACCGTAATGAGTACTTAGAAATCAAGGCCACAGGGCTTCATACGATGATCCAAAACCAAATTTAACCTCTCGTACCATCAGCCAAATCGGTGGTGGGAAAACAAATGTATTCGGCCGGGAAATCATCGGTAAACGTTAGAGATGCACCGATCGATCGGCCCGGATCAGTGATCGGCCGGTCAGTCTCACTTCTTGTCGATTTCGAGCCGATCCATTTTGTTACCAGCGGCACAGGCAATAACGTCAGCCGCGCATTCTCGCTCTCTTCTCTCCGACGACCCCTTCTCTCTCACACACGTCTCATTCACTCCGGTTAAATAGTGCTTGTATTGCGCATTATTTTAGTCATTCCCGCAGGTTTCGCGCTTATACCAAACGCGCGCGCACCACCACTGATCTATATTAGTGGAGCGCACAATCCGCGCTCAGTCTCAAACAGCTTGTGAGCCACAAATACCAAAATGAGTGGCTAACTGCGCTAAAATGTTCAAATACATAAAAACAAAAAAATAATTTTCTGCTCTTGACTGAATACGTTTTATAACTTTAAATGGTAAGCATTAATCTATATGAAATTTTTTACAATGAAGACTACAGAAATTAAAGTAATCAAATGTAAAATAACACTGGATGTGTTATTTTACATTTGATTACTTTAATTTCTGTAGTATCTATTAACTGTAGTGTTGTTTTTGGCGGCCTGTTTTAATTTTAGTTTTAGTCTAGTCTTTGTGTGAAGCTGTCATTTTAGTTTTTATTAGTTTTAGTCACGTTCATACTCTTTTTAGTCTAGTCAAGTTTTAGTCAACTAAAAGTCTGAGCGTTTTAGTCTTATTTTAGTCAGAATTATCCATGACTATTTTAGTCTAGTTTTAGTCAATGAAAATTGTATTTTAGTCTCTTTTTAGAAATGTAATTCTATTTAACCCAGTCAATATAGTATAAGTGCCTAGTAGTATAGACGAAACCAAAATTGTATTTTAGCCAAACCCATTTCAAACAAGGTTATCTTATTATATTATTGTTACCTTATAGTCTCAAGAATACATCCATTCCAGACACGGAAGACGCTCTGATTTGAATTTACAACATTTATTTTACCAACCAAACATGTTAGAAGTACACACACATAAATTTAAATAAAGACGAACCCCGGCTGGCCGGCCATCGGTCCCTTTCTCTGTGTCAGACTTAACTTTGTTTGGTTTTCGTCTTCTAAATCAGTGTTTCCCAACCTTTCTTTAGTCGCGGCACCCTTTGGAAATTTTAACAAATTTGTGGCACCCTACAAAATTAATTTGGTCACAATATTTGAATTTCTAACTTCGATGTGATCATTTGAAAAGTATAGATATTTGGTACAACAGAGAAGAACTGCAGAATATAAATGTCATTAGATATTTTTAATATTATAAAAAAAAAATTGTCTATCAATGGTGGCAATCAGTAGGCTAATTTCTAATGAAGAAACCAATTTATATGACAGATTTTAATATAGGCTTTTATTCACATGTAAACATTGTGAGATAGTTATAATGGTAATTAAACAAAGTTTTGATTTTACAGCTGGGTAATTTTGTTGCAGTAGCACGAGATTCCTTCGTTTCGTCTCGTTTTGGTCAACGAAAATGAAGAGACATTTTAGCATAGTTTTTATTTTGTAAGCCACATTTCGTCTCGTTTCTATTCGTCAACAATATTGCATTGTGCATTTAATTATCGCCATCGTCACATGACCAGCATTTTCGTCTCGTCTCGTTTTCGTCACGTGATAAAGGTTCGTTGACGACTATATTTAGTCATAATTTTAGTTGACGAAAGCAACACTAATTAACTGAATAAAAACTTAACCTGAAAAACTTAGTTTAATAGCTCTCTTTATTCTATTGCATTTATTTGTGCTGTCCTTTGCTATTTTTTTATTTGTTCTTATTTTATCACTGACTTTTTACTTGTGTTGCGTTTTAAACTTTGCGTTGAAGAAAAGTAGATTTTTGTTTGTATATGCTGTCAATTATAGTTCTTAGAAAGAAAATCGGAATCGGCAAAAATCGGTATCGGCAGATCACACTAACAAAAAAAATCTGAAATCGGAATCGGCCAAGAAGATTGCAATCGGTGCATCTCTAGTAAACGTGGAGACTCACCTTGACGATAGGGTGTCCCCCGGATGCGGCTTTGATGGCCCCTCGGCTGCCTTCGGTCTCGTAATGAGCTCTGTGATGAGTTTTGGGGTGAACCTCGACCTTTAGCTCATACTGCCCGTACTGATTCGGCAACGGCCAGTCCAGGGGAGGCAGGGATGACGCCCTACACACAGATTAAGAGCAACACCAACAGAGCAGTTATACAATGTAGAGTGGTCAGGTAGTAGATCGACTATATAAATGAAAACATACAGTATAAAACAAGATGATCGTGTCAGTGAGCAGCTATGCAACAGTTCAGGATGCATAGATTTTATGTTAGAATCTGAACAAACATCTTTTTTTCCTCAAGTCTCTGTGCTGCTGCCAGAGATGGTTCCCACTTCCCATGAAACAGTGCTATGACAATGTGGTTCGGGATGGACAGGATTTGTACCAAATGAAATTTGAAAATAAAGTCGTGCAGCTGCGGTGTGCGGAGAAGGCCAACAAATATCTTGTGATATGGTCGTCCACTGACAAACAAAAAAAAAAGCGTATGAATTATGCTACTTTAGATGTTAAAATATGTTCTCAAAATAAGAAATTTAGACTTTGGAATAAAAAAATTGAAATTTGACTTGTGAACAAAGACCATGTTGCAACATGCTTTTGTGAGGGCAGGTTAAAGGCTAATATAGTCAATAACATAGTATATGTCACGTTTAAAGGGTTAGTTCACCCAAAAATGAAAACTAGCCTGTGTTTTACTCACCCTCGAAGCATCCTAGGTGTATATGACTTCCTTCTTTCAAACGAATCCAGTCGGAGTTACATTAAAAATTGTCCTTGCACTTCCAAGCTCTATCATTGCAGTCAGTGGGTGTTACAGTTGAACAGTCCACAAGTCATCACATAAAGCGCACACATCCATAAAACGTGCCTCACACGGCTCCAGGGGGTGAAGGCCTCCTATAGTGAATCCATGCGTTTTTGTAAGAAAAAATCCATATTTCAAATGTAATAAAGACTTTTCTCTCACTTCCGCTGTCTTAAGCCGTTCCAGCGGATGACGCAGCATGTATGCTAGTCTCATGAGTTTGTTTATAGGAGCAAAGGAAGCAAACTTACTTTACTTCCTTACTTTAGCAAAGGAAAACCAGTCTCCTCTTGGTTCATATCTAAATCCTCCGACATTTTTCTTCGCAAATCCTCGGTTTGTACTTCTAATTCGTGACCAGCGTTTTGTTTTGTTCTCTCTCCGTATTCGTCACTAATCACGCAACGCCGACGTCATAATAGGGCTAGGCGATAGGACGATATTATCGTATATCGACGATGTCTCGTAAGTATCGCAATGTCGATGTCAACAGTCAGGTAACAGATGAATATCGACATTATCGGGAAAAAATTACAAATGATAAACCTAGTAAGTTATAGTCACCATACAGGTCTTTTTGCATGCAAGAATGAAATAATTTAGTAGGAGGGTTGGGCATTGAAAAGCTATTCCAATTTCGGAAATCAGATCAGATGCATAAGGTAAGGAATCAAATTACTTTATACATTTCGATTCTGCTCCTCGATTCCTGTATGCGCATTTATTGTAATTTCAAAAGATTCAACTGCAAGAAGACGAAATAGAACTCACTTCTGCACTCGCGCGCTGTTTTCTGTGCTGCACACACACACAAAACGCACGCACAAAAGCCGCCTCTTATATACACGAACACTGGACTGAGCTCTCTTTCTCACATTCTTACACATTCGAATGGACAAATACACACAGAATTGTATCAAAATATCCCATAAATACAATCGGTTATGTCTTAATTGAACGTAAAGAGCGGAGAAAGCAAACAAGGGTGTATTGGATCCGTGCATTGACAGCAGCCATTGATGTTAATTTAAAGAACGAAAGAAAAGAAAAACCCTCACTGATCTTGACTGAATCACTTTTGTAACCTCAGTTTATGTTTTATTTGCCTGTTGTTTGGCACTGACTACTGTAATGGTAACATGCATCTGTGTATTATGCATTCCAATATAATTTATCCTTATTTAGGGTATAGGCCTATTCTATTTTGATCTGCAGTTTAATAAAAGTTAAACAGATAAAAAATAAAAAGTAGCACTGCATGGATTTCTGAATATTTATTTAAACAGACTTCATAATGATGAAAAACCACAAACATGACAGGTATAATTAAAATACGCAATATCAGCGCACATTTCAGTGCAATATATTTACAGATTTTTATACCATGTATACAATATAATTATGTTTAATTAAGCTGATATATAGCACAATAAATTCTTAATTCAAAACTATAAAGTTTTGTTGCAAACGGCTGAAGACATTATAGTACTATATCTCAGCTCGCCCCTCAACATATATGCATTCGGCGATTCGGCAGCCCAACACTGAATATTATTTTGTGGGCATTGTATTTTGATTAATAAAATAAAAATTATAAAAATTACAATACAAAAATTAAATTTAAATTACCCTGCTTCTAAATAAATAAAGCAGTTCTTTTTATTTAGTTAAAAACGGGCCAAAAGAGACCTCCGAACTAGTAGGCTACCAGAAAGAAAGAAAAAAAACCTTAACGATTTTGCTCAGAATTCGTTTTTAATCCTTGCATGATTTTATTCATTCATGATAAATATCAAATACGTTATAGCTTGACTACAAGTATAAAAACAATGCTGCGAATGTCATAATTAAGGAAATTAAACTTACCATCATGAAATGTCTACACAGGCGATAATGCCAAAAAGAAAGAGAAACATCTGAAAATAGGCATATTTTATTCAAGACAATATTATATGACATCAACGAGCATTTATCATTATTACAATCACCGCCAGAATGTCCAACTTCACCATGATGAACTTAAAATTGGGTTCTATTATTTTTCCTCAACAGTTCTCCTCACAAAACGAAATTCATTTCAAATTTGATAAGAACAGAGTGGAAATTATTAGCAACACCAAAATAACAGCAAAGCTAATGTTTTCTATTAGTTTAAGCCCAAACTAAGAAAAGTAAAACCAAACTTTGTGGCAATAATTAAGACCAAACCGAACATGATGTGTGTTTATGGTGCATGTCGGCAATGTTGTCTCGGCGGGGGCGGGGCGTGGTGGAGGTGGGGCTTACGTAGACGATATTATCGGATATCGCAATATTTTTAAAGGCTATTATCGATAAGATATTTTTGATATATCGCCCAGCCCTACGTCATACGTCATCCGCTGGAACGGCTTCCGCGTATGACAGATACCGGAAGTGAGAGAAAAGTGTTTATTACTTTGAAATATGCATATTTTTCTTACAAAAACCACATGGTTTTGCTACAGGAGGCCTTTAATCAACCGCCCCCCCTGGAGCCGTGTGAGGCATGTTTTATTATGGATGCGCGCGCTTTATTTGACGACTTGTGGACTGTTCAACTGCAACACCCGCTGACTGCAATGATAGAGCTTGGAATAGCCAGGACAATTTTTTATATAACTCCGACTGGATTCGTCTGAAAGAAGAAAGTCATATACACCTAGGATGCCTCGAGGGTGAGTAAAACACAGCATTTTAGTAGCATTTTCTTTTTTGGGTGAACTAACCCTTTAAGATGCAGAGCAGTTCAGTGAGAGGGTAGTTCACCCAAAAAAGAAAATTCTGCCACCCTTGTTCAAAACTTATATGACTCTTATATGACTTACTTCTACTGAAAACAAATGAGATATTTTGGATATGGTGGTAATCAAACCACTTTTGGTTACCAATGACTTCTGCTGCATGTACAAAAAAGCAAGACATTTCTTAAAATATCTTCATTTATGTTCCACAGAAACACAGGGTTGGATCAACATGAGAGTAAGTAAATGATGACCAAGTTCTAATTTTCTGGGTGAACTACGCATTTAAAGATATGCAAAACTTATGACTAGTGAAATTTATGAATGACATAAGGGTAAATCAGTGATCAGTGAATGTTTTTTTGTCTTAGTCTAGCTCTCTACCACATCCTCTCCATCCTCTCTCTTTCCCAATCACCCCTCACTCCTCATGCTGTCATGGTAACGTGAGATGGTTCGTCAGGGGAAACGCGAGAAGGCTCAATGTGTGTGACAGTAGTGGCCTAACGATAGTGGACTAGTGGCCTGTGGACATCAAACGGCTTTACTTGTGACAATGAACACTTGCCTTATACACACGCAACTCTTGTACACAAAATGAACACCAATTTAAGGTTTAAATCAACACCACTATTCAAGAATGTCTTCACACTACTCTGCATCTACACTACCATTCATAATTTTGGAGTCAGTAAGGATTTTTTTTAATAATTAATAATTTTATTCAGCAAGAATGCATTAAATTGATCAAAAACTATATTTATATTTCAAAAAATGCTATTCTTTCAAACTTTCTATTCATCAAAGAATCCTGAAAAAAGTATCACTGTTTAAAAAAATATATATTAAGCAGCACAGTTGTTTTAAACATTGATAATAATTCTAAATGTTTATTGAGCCCCAAATCAGCATATTAGAATGATAAAATAAATGAACCCCATTATATGAAAGAACTATGATGACATGCATGTGATCTATGTTTACTTTGCATATGACAGATGCAGTTTGTTTATTTCCAAAATGTTAACATATTCTGGCAGCTCTGACAGGATGGACCAGCTGTCAGTCTGGGCCGACCAGTGACAGCCTGACCCTTGCAAGAAAGGCATATGAATATTTTTATGAAACATAAAAGCCAAAAACTAAAACAAAAACATCATGTACATTTGATACATCGACCAGTCCTAAGAGGCAAGCAGGTGTGTGTCTTCATCTGAAAGTGTGTTATGTTTAGCCGGCTGTCTTAAACTAGACCCGCTATAGACTTCAGCTTAATACTGTGCCAACTTCACCCACCCCGCCATAGCAAACCCATCTGTTAAACCAAACAAGCTTCTAGATCTTTCTATTGCTGTTGATTGATGGAGAAGTCAGCACACACACACACACACACACTCACAAACAGGTCCGATGGCAGACAGCAGAGCTGTGGGCTCATATAACAGGAATCAGGTATCATGTCTCTGTTGTATGAAGGTACGGCCGTAAAGTCAACACTGCTCCTACGTGTTGCTCTGCTGGAAGATTCTTTACAAGCTTGTGAGGAGGAGAGCAAGTTCTGTGACTATGTGCTTATTTCTTATGCAACTTTGGAATCAAGGGTGTATCCCATACATTGTGGATAATTAATGAAGGGGCCTAACTGAGTTAAAAACTGTGTTGTGTTGGTGCAGTCGATAACAGAATAATTGTGGGTAGGAAAACCAGGGTAAAGGAAAGGCCAGGGTACACACATAGGCCGTCTTCTTCTGACTAGCATGCGTGTACACACACACACACACACAGGCATTATCCGATGCTCTGATATGGATAGCAGACACACATTTAACTCTTTCTGTTCTTCAGTTCACTCAACTGCCTCATCATGCTACTCTAAATGTATACTGGATCTGTTCTAAAAGTAGTGCGGTAACTATCAGTAAAGTAAGGCATCACTGAAATAAAGGCTTGCCATTATTTAATGATTCACATATATTCTTCACGTTTAAAGGGATAGTTCCCACAACAGTGAAAATTCTGTCATGATTTACTCATCCATATGTCATTCTCACCCTTATTTTCAACTGACATTCTTCTGTGAATGAAGTCTTGAAAAATATTATTATGACCATGCAATCAAAGATAATGCCAGTCATCAAAATGGTTTCAATATTCTTCAAAATATCTTCTTTTGTGTTCCACAGTTGAATGAAAGTAATAATGGGATGGTAAATAAATGAATAAATAAATAAAAAGAATTTTCATTTTTTGGGGAGCCATCATTTAAGACAACCTCAGAATACTTTGCATTGAGTTAAGTATATATATAGAAAAACATTATAATAATAATAAAATTCCTAAATGGATAAATAACAGACTATAGACATATTTTTATTTCAGAAATATGTAGCTCTATTTCCATAGTAAACTATTTTATGTGTCCTCCTAGGTATTATTTGTGATTATAGTATTGCATTGTTAGCTTAGCAACATGCTTAATAATTATCTGAACGCAAGGATGCGTGATATATTGGTACTATTTTAATTAGTAATAGATTAAATAACGATTTTTTTGAGATTAATATTTGCTGTTTGTGTTAAAAATAATTGTTGTTAAAAAAATAATAATTATCTGCATTTTTACTTCCTGAAGATATTTCTTTATATTGTTTCTATATATACTTTCTTTATATTGTTTCCACATTAATTCAAGAGATTCAATGTGAAAATCTATCCAAAATTTAATGTTAGGTGTGATTAATCGTGATTAAATACAGAAATCTAACTAAGTAGTTAAATTTATACATTTATTGGCACAAATCGATATTGTTTATTATTGTTGTGCATACTCCTTTTCCATATTTTTGCATTTAGTTTTCCTTCCTAATCCCTCACATAGTTAATATTTTAAAATAATTTGTATTTAATAACAATTCATTAGCAAACCTCAAAATGTCTATCCATATTTCAGACTGTACAGTATAATGTTGTGATGCTTAAAGGGTTAGTTCACCCAAAAATGAAAATTAGGCCATAAATTACTCACCCTCAATGTATCCTAGGTGTATATGACTTTCTTCTTTCAGACGAATCCAGTCAAGAGTTATAATTTTGATCTTTCACACTGTTTAATGCCACTCAGCGGGTGTTGCAGTGCTTCAGTCCAAAAGAAGTTAAATAAAAAGCGCCCATCCATTAAAAAAAAAGTCTCACACGGCTCTGGGGGGGTGAACAAAGGCCTCCTGTAGCGAATCGATGCGTTTTTTGTAAGAAAAATATCCATATTCAAAACGTAATAATCACTTTAATTTAGCTTGCGCCAACAGTTGTACACGGAAACAGCTCCGGGCGGATGACGTATGAGGTCAGCGTTGTGCATGCGCCGGTGAGTCTCGTGAAAACCAACGTTTGTTAACAGGAGCAAAGGAAGCAAAGTTTCCTTACTTTAGCTTCCGCGTTCGTCAATTCTGAGCAGCGCATGTGCAATGCCGACGTCCTACGTCATCTGCCCGGAACTGCTTCAGTAAGCGCAAGCTAGATTAAATTGATTATTACTAGTCCCGCTGAGTGGCATTAAACAGCTTGAAAGATCAAAGACAATTTTATAATAAAACTCAGACTGGATTCGTCTGAAAGAAGAAAGCCATATACATCTAGGATGCCTTGAGAGTGAGTAATTTATGGCCTAATTTTCATTTTTGGGTGAACTAACCCTTTAAATTCACTTGTTGATTTTAGTTTTTAGTGTTTTAATTATTTGGACAAAAATATAGGATTTTAACATCTCCCACTGCATTATTGCTTATTGGCAATAAAACTAAGATAATTTATAAGTTGAGTCTCTTGTGCTTTAAGAAGTGCTATTTGTGTGCTGCATGTGAGAGACAAAAACAGTTGCAGCCAAATCAGTAAAATGAGGTTCTCTGTCAGTTTGGATGCTACCTTAGAAGACCGCAGACAATTTAGTAGTCAATTCACTCTGAGTTATTGTCTCTACACATGAACACTTGCAAGAAAGAAGCATTGTAGAGCTATACTCACATGAACTCAATAATGGTTACTCTGATGTCACTTCACAGCAGAGGGAGTTTACCTGAAAATAGGTGTGTGTCCTGGTTTGGGTTTGTTCCATGTGAAGTGAGATGGGACAGAAAGAAACTGCTCTCCAGATCCATCCTTCTTTAATCCGTGCATGCCGTCCTCAGCAGGTGAGTCAAGCAAAGGAGACACATTCCCAGAGTCATCCATGCCCAGGTCACCCTTTCCTGACTGGATTGCTGCTGTACAGTCCTGGGAGGTCTTTCTCGTCTTGGAGGGGATGTCAGCCTCAGAGGGACAACACTGGAAAGGGGATACACCCATAGATGGGCTTCCTATCCAGGTGTCTTCAGTCACGCTCCCCCTGGGCGAGGGGCCGGGCGTGGCAGTCGGGGAGTGATGGGGTGATAAAGAGCCCAGGTAGCATATATCAGCGCTGGAGTGGCGTCTCTTCCCGCAGGGTGATGTCGGACGTGAAGAGGGCCGTGAGGGTGAGCGAGGGTTCAGCCAGTTCTCATCTGTGATGCTGGTACGGGGCGAGTGGCAAGGCGACTGGCGGGGTGAGAGAGAATGGCCATGCGAATGAGAAAGGGAGTGAATGAAGGCCGGGTGATGATGGTGATGCTGCTGTTGCCACACTTCCTCATGTGGTCCAGTCTGTGGAGAGCAGCCAGGCGAGGTCAGCGGCGAGCCCAGGGTGAAACGTGCCGCTGCTTCATTTAGCTCTGAATCCACGTCATCGTACACGTGTGAGATGGATTCGCAGGACGATGCGTCGGAGAACCAGCTACGAGAGGAAAGGCTGCTACATGGACTCGGGCTCAGGGATGAATCTCGATACGAGTGATCTAGAGGCAGGTACAGGTGGTCTCGAGACAGAGGTCTGTTGTGGTAGTCTCTATCCGGACCCTTCGCTCTCATCTCATCCTCGCTGGCCTCCATCTCCTGCTGGCAGCTCGGGGAGATTGAGGTGATCTGGATGCTGGGACATTCAAAAGCCTTAGGTGGGCCATGGCCTCCTCCGCCCACCCCTGTGTGCGTGTATTTAGAGTCCTGGGGCTCGTAGCTGGGCTCATAGGCCTTGTGGTGGGCCTGCAGGGATGGGGAGGTGGCAATGAGTTGGGCTGGGCCTCCATGCCGCTGGAGACCGTATGATTGGTTCACCACTGAAGGAGGTTGTCCCACATTGAGGACGTAAAATGATGTGTTTTCATCTGTTTCTAGATCTAAAAAAAAAAAAACAAGACAAAACATGGAGAGGATGAAACAGACAGAAGAATAAGGGACAAAATAAGCATTTGTACAGTGTAGCCAGTGGAGTTCTGAAATATTGAGGGAATAGATTTCCATGAATGATGCAGAAGAGAAATACTGTGCCTTAAAAAAACATTCTACCGACAATGCGCTTACCCAGAATGACAAAGGTGGACTGTGGACCATCTGTTAAAAGAATGTGTATTAATGACTGTTAACAACTCTTGTATTTGGTATTGCTGAGACAAACCGTTCAAAAATCTGAACGGCTGTTGGAAAACATGTGAATACTGTCTGACTAGCAAGTGGGTGTCAGAAATCGAAAGCTGCGCACTGATACCCTTGTGGACAGCTATATTTCTGCTTTTCCATATGAGCCACCTACTGTCAGGGAGTGAATATGCATTGTCTTTTAGTCTACCTATATATTTTTTTCACTTAGGTATGAATAAAATCGCAAATTTATCCCAAATTTCTGTGCAGAGCATTTTGTGTTGGTGTGAACAGGCCTTTAATATGCCATATACTCAAGTAATTGTTGCTTACAAATAAAACATAGATACATAACAGATATGATAAAAGATCAACGCAAAATAGAAAATATTAAAAAGTGTAAAAAACTGCATATTTACATAAGGTGTGTGTGATATACTGATTTAGAACCAGGATAACATTTTAAATGTTGTTTCTATCATTGTTAAGGCGGTGATTTTTTGGCACCTTTCTTCAGTGGCTGTGCATTGATGGAGATATCCCAAACGCCTGCACTGCAGAGAAGTATTTTTAATTGATAGTTTTATTCTTTCATTAAATCAATATTTTGCAGTAATTGTATTAATCACTTCACCACAGCATTCTACAGTTCTAGGGATAGAGTTTTAAAAACCAGAACTACGGTTAGCAAAAAACACATACAGGTAGGTGCATAAAATAAGTCACTTATAGAAACTGTATAACATTTACCAAAGGTCACAGTGTAATTGCTCGTATAACTAACACATAAATAATTACGGTCTATTGAGGCACTTCAAGGTCTCTGTCTGCTGATAAGAGGGATGAAAGAGAACAGGCTATTTTCTCTCCTCTCTCTCTCCTTTTTTGGACTGCTGTTCTGATAGCCTTGAAAATGAAAGACTCGGGCTAGCTGCAAACAAACCACTGGGGAATCTACAGACGCTACAACACTAGCAACAGGTTAACAATAAGAGCATTATAGCACAAACACAACACTACTGATATCTCAGTATCCGCGCACGGGGATGGTAGGGGTGAGAAGCACAGAGAGAGAGTGAGAGTGAGAGAGCAAGATCCATAGAGTCAGATCCATTTAAAAGCAGATATAATGAGACAGAGAGCCAGTGGGTTAGTCAATGGGGAGAATTTCGGGTGGGGCGACAGATGGGCTCAAATCCAGAGAGGAATAACCCGTGCACATGTCGTCTATCTCAGGACGTGCACAAAAAACACACGGGAAACAAATTCGCATATAGGCGCATGCTTTAGCCTGTCACCACATAGAGACCGACCCTATTAATAACGCCAGCTCGCACATACACAGATGGCTATTATGCACTAATACTGTACAGACACACACCCACAGAGCATATTGTGCCTGTGGTCTATTAACGGTTATTGATGAGCTTCCAGTGACTGGGCAGAGGGAGCCTGACAGGGCCAGACAGCAGTGAGCAGCCAGAGAGATGTGTTTCTACAAGCTGCATACAGCCCCACAGAGTCAAAAATAAAATCAGCGTTGCGATTTCACAATGCAACGCAATCAAGTCTCGTTGAATACCATCTTGATTCCCCACTGGTATGCTGCTTTGGATAAAAGCATCAGCTAAATAAATTAATGCAAATGGAGTCATGGCCTTTCTCTCACTTATCCTCCTTTGACTGACTTACCCAGTGTTCTTTTTTTTCTTTCAAAATGCTCTCATTTATGTTTCTCTACCCCAATTCTCGTCTCTCTATTTTTACCCCTCTCTATCCCCCTCCATCTGATTGACTTATTTATAGATGCTCCACACACTCCCTGTCATAAGACATGCCTATTTGTGACGACAGAGCCTGACAGACAGGAAGGGGGACAAACCTAGGTGTCACACAAGACTCAACATGTCAATCCAACTGTGAACTCTGACCCCAAGGGAAATAGATCACTGGGAGTTTACTCAATCTGACACACACAATGCTGCGATATACTACAAAGATGCAGCAGTATACTAACTCAGAATAACATTCCATAGAAAAAATGTGAGATCTTTGATCCCTAGAGTTAATCTGCAAAGGCAAAGCCTATGTTTTTTTTTACCCACAATTTCATGCTGAACTTCATTCATGAGGGAGAAGAGGCTTTGATTAATCCACCAAATGCTGGCTGCCAGATCATTAGCATAGCGCCATGAATAAATACAATGATGGGTGGATAAAATAAAGGAGAAAAAAAGACTGAAAGAGAGAGATGGAGGGTGCTGAGCATTGGGAGCAGTGGAAAAGTAGGCTGATACTTTTGAGGCTGGTTTAAGGTTCAGGTTGGACATCTAAAGAGATGCTTGAGACACTTTTCAAAAGCTTCTTTATTATCTTTATATACAGAAATTAATTTTGGTTGTAAGAAATTCAGTCACTGAATGCACCAATTTGGCTTTCACCAGTTCCTGTTTCAACCAAAATTTGTAGTAATTCTGTCCTTCCTATATTCACATCACCATATTATAACAAGTTTTTTCCTTAAAAATCTAAATCAATAAGCAGACTCAGAATCAGAATGGCTGAAATTAAAACGATAACCAACCCTATTCCAGACCTTGCTCTTGTTAGTCTATTGCTCTCACTGGAAGCAAGTTTACCCTGCGATGGCTGATCCTGGAAGCAAAAACACCCAAATGTGTGAAATGGCTAATAGTGCCACAGAAATGGCACTGTGCAGCTTTAAGGCAGAGAATAAAGATGTGGAAAGAGAAATATATTTTTTTAAATTATAGTGTGAGAGAAAGAGAGAGCAGAATAACAGAAAATGAGTAATGAGCACTATAACTAGCTCTCCAAGAACAGATTGTTCCCCCAAAAGACCTCCCAGCCTCCCTAGCAGAGCTAATGAATACTATGATGAAAGTATTGTGTCAGTCCTCACATGATAAAGATATATACAGTAACATGACATCTGCATCATCCTTCATAAAATGGAAGTGTTAGAGCTGCAGCACAGCAAGTGCAAATGCTCTGACACCGTGGTGCCCGTGACAGCAGTGCAAATTCCAGTCCAGCTCTGTATATTTTCTTGTCCTCAGTCTCACTGTCCTTATAAGCAAAAGTAGTCACAAAGCACATTTCAATTAGTTCCAAAATCTTATTTACAAAAACCAACACTACTGTTCCAAGTGCTGATTTATTTTTTGTTTGTTTTTGAAAGAAGTCTCTTATGCTCACCAAGGCTTCATTTATCCCAAATACAGTAAAAACAATAATACTGTAAAATATTACATTAAAAAAACTGTTTCCTATTTTACTGCATTTTTTATTTATTCCTGTGATGGCAAAGCTGAATTTTTAGCTGCCATTACTCTGCTGAAATTCTCTGATGAATGGAAAGCTCAAAGAACAACATTTATTTGGAAATTGAAATCTTTTGTAATATTATAAATATCTTTACTGTTCCTTTTCAGTAATTTATTTGCATCCTTGCTGAATAAAAGTATTTATTAAAAAAAAAAAAATCTTACCAACCCCACACTTTTGAATGGTACTGTTGTGTGCAGTACAAACATGTTGCATACTTGATGTCTGTTGCCTTGTACACACACACACACACACCATTAGTTTTTGCTACCTTATGTCTGCTGGGAACGTCAGTGAGTGGAAACCTGACCCAGATCAACCCAGAACCATCTGCTGGAAGGAAATGAGGGAAGTGTAGTATTGTGACTAATATGGCATGCAGTTTAGTTACGACAACAACTCAAATTTACCACTTGAACGATGTGACAGTTGCTTGAGGTTCATAGAAACATTTCATCCAGCTCCAAACCCCCTCAGCACGGTCTCACAGAACCTGGGTCAGTAATAATCTATGATGAGGAATGATCTTATGCAGTATGAGGAGAGGAGTCCCAGCGTCTGCCTGCTCATATCAGACGCTGTTCAGTTCCACATCAGACTGGCTATCTGGTTAAATAAAGAGGCCTAAGAGGCTTTGCTGTTCCTAAGCTAATAATAGTGGGAAATCGCTGTAGTGCGCTGAGAAGCACTCAATGCCTTGTACAGTCCATGACACTACTAATACACGGGCTTTCGCCAGTAAAGTCACCCAGAGGTGAGACCAACAGTCCCTACCTGGTGCAGTGTGTCTGTGTGTTTGTGTGCATGTAATATCAGACCAGGACTGTGAGGGAAGTCATGTTAGCACGCAAACACACAAACAGTTTAATTGCTTTGATTCCTTGAATGCATACAGGATGCGAACTGACGACAGGAATGAAAAACTCAAGCCCTTTCCTCCATTAGTAATGACGCTCACATAATTAAATTAAGCACAGATGAAGCATGGACCTCTCTAAACATCTCTGTCTGCTGTGAAGGCAGAACGGTACTTATCCTAACGCACCTGTCACGATGCAACTGTTTGAATTAGTCCACCACTAATGAAAGATGGAGGCAGATGCTGTAATAAACAATAAGGGATGCCTAGTCCATGCGATAGATGAATCAATATCAAACTGTAATTATCCGTGCTGTGACTTCAATGTACCAATGGCGTCTCAATAACTTGTTGGTTGAGGAATGCACTTACCTACAAAAATGTGCATACTCACTTCAGGTACACATATCAGTTTAGTGAGAATCTAGTGTAGGAAAACAGACCATTTAAACAAGCAAGCTTAATTTAAGAGCATCCTGCTTTCTTCGATTTTCCAATTTGGCTCCATTTTCAAGTCTTGCGTCACATCATTTTCCTACTTGCACATGTTGT